TGGATGTCTGCAAATGTTTTACATTTTAATAATGACAAGACTGAGGTCATGCTTTTTAGTCCTAGTGGGCCATGTTCTGCTGACCTTGGTCCACTAGCCCTATTTTTGAAACCTGTAGCGACCAGTCTGGGAGTCCAGCTTGACAGTGATCAGTTTCTGGAAAAGTAAATCAGTGCCGTCACCAAAGCCAGTTTTTATCAGTTAAGGAGGATCGCCAAGGTTAAGCGTCTGCTCTCAAGTCATGACTTTGAGGCGGTGATTCACTCGTTCATTACATCACGCCTTGACTTTTGCAACGCACTGTACCTTGGTGTTCCTCAGTCTCACCTCTCCCGTCTTCAAATGGTGCAAAATGCAGCAGCACGCCTATTGAAGGTGTTGTGACTATCGGTCAAACGAATAATTTGTAAGCTTTTACTTACTTTTTTGGATTCTTCAATAAATTCGTAAATATGGAAATATTTACCAATTTATTAATTAATTAGGATATCCGGAGATATCTACGGGGCACCATCCCCTTCTAACAGGGGAAAAATTGAATCCAAAACTATTATCAGTCTCGTCTAAACGTTCCGTGAATCCTAACGAGCTGCTGTTGACATTTATATCACACAAACAATTCACTTGAAACAAAACTTAATTGAATAACATTTATTAACCAACTTATATTATCAAATGAATAACAAGTAATTAAACAATGAAATAATACTGTAAAACATTCTGAGATGGTGTAATGAGATTGAAGGGGTTCTTTGTTCTGCTGACCACCAGATCGGCTCTGTGGAATGTGTAGGATTGTAAGCGGTAAGCTGTGGTTGTGTGTGTGTGTGTGTGTGTGTGTGTGTGTGAGCTGTCTTTCACCCCCACACTGAGAACCGATGTGGGAGGGGTGGGATGTGTGTGTGTAAGTTTTCCCCTAAACTTTCAGTCAGTGGCTTCACTTTCACCTTAACTCAATCAAAAACTTCAAAACCGCTTCACAAAGAATCAGGAAGCAAAACAAAACAATCAATCAAAGGCAAATGAAATATCTAAAACTGTCAATGCTGTGGCCACAGCTTAAAACAACTCAGATATTACAACGAAAGAGAAGATCTTACTTCAAGATGGTCTGGATGATGTATTTGGTACGGAAGATAGAAAGACCGTTTTCTATTTTGAAGCAAATCACGCGGTTGACCGCTTGTTTGGCTATGAGAAACGGGAGAGGAGAAGTAGAGAAAAAATAAAGAAAAAAAAACTCTTCTCTGAGCGACTTCAAGGCGTCCCTTGGAAATCACACTGAGCCAGACGATGATTTAACGCTGCTCCTCCGCGGTTCGCCGTTCCCACGCGTCCGAAGCTGCAGCAGCGAGCGATCTCTAACATCAGCCGAAGCTGAGAACAAAGAGAAGTTAAGTTTCACTTTTCCTCTCTTTTATAGACTCTGGCGGGGCGGGAAGTGTCCTGAATGGCTCCCGCACATGCGCAGAACTTGTTTCCGGGGTTCGGCGGTGACGTCATCACATTGCTTCTGGCTCAAGGAATCATGGGAAATGAAGTCTCTCTTGGCGCTGGAACTTATTATCTGCTTTTTCAGAGCGCAGATCACACAGTTTTTGGAGAAAATGCTGCGTAGCAATTTTCTCATGAGGGCAGACCCTCAACAACGGGTTCGAGAAAGAGGGAGCACATTACCCCAATTTTAGCTTCGCTGCACTGGCTGCCTGTCGAATTTAGGGTCCAGTACAAGGTTCTTTTATTGGCTTTTAAAGCTGTACATGGCCTTGCCCCGCAGTATCTGTGTGAAATTTTAGTTACTCACTCCCCGTCTCGGTCACTGAGGTCAGTTGACCAGTTTCTCCTGGAGGTGCCGAGAACGAAGAGAAAGCTCAGGGGTGATAGAGCTTTCTCAGTAGCAGCTCCTAGCTCCCGATTCAGATTAGGACGGTTTCGTCACTGTCGGGTTTTAAATCACTCTTAAAGACTCATCTGTTCTCATTTGCTTTTAATTCAGTTTGAGAATGCGTCTGTTTTTACTAGCTTTTATGTCAGTTTGATATGTTTGTTTTATCATGTTTTTACTTTGTGATGAACTTTTTATCTTATTTTTAGAATTTTTAGGGAACTTCTGTTCTTTTTGGCTTGTTAAGCACGTTGGTCAGCTTTTATGTTGTTGTAAAGTGCTTTATACATAAAGTTGACTTGACTTGACTATCGTGGCATATATAGAAGCATTTCACTGAAAACCCATTTTCTAATTATTATTTCTGATTGTAATCCGTCACTCTGAGTTTTTCATGCAGATAGAACATTAAAATAGTTTCCTACTCCTATCTCGTGCATTAGCTTCTGATAGAAAATAGATGGTGAAACTCTAGGATTGGAAAAGCCTGACAGATCCAAGTTACACTGTCACTTAACATTCATCACATCCAATGGCTCGTGACGAGGAAGGCTGTTGTTGGTTTAGCGTCCAGGAAACAGAAGATAACGTCTCAGGTAGTAGAAGCTAACCATTAGCATTAGCTACTTCACCACACAGCAGAATTCCTCCAGGCTTGTGGTATTCCTGGAGATAAAACATCAACGTTGGACAGCAGAGGCAGTGGTAGAGTCGTGTTGCTGTTAGTCAATCAGAAGCAAGATGTCCAAATATCAAGAAACAAGACTCCAAATTCAATTCAATTCAGTTCAACTTTATTTATAAAGCGCCAAATCACGACAAGAGTCGTCTCAAGGCACTTCACATAATAAACATTCCAATTCAGGTCAGTTCATTAAGCCAATCAGAAATAATGTGTCCTATTTAAGGAACCCAGCAAATTGCATCGAGTCACTGACTGGTGTCAGTGTCTATACAGCAATCCTCATACTAAGCAAGCATGCAGCGACAGTGGAGAGGAAAACTCTCTTTTAACAGGAAGAAACCTCCAGAGAATCCTGGCTCAGTATAAGCAGCCATCCTCCACGACTCACTGGGGATGGAGAAGACAGAGCAGACACACACACACACACACACACACACACGCACACACACAAGACTAGTAATGTGTCTATAGTTATATTGTGATTTCTTAGTAAATATTCTATTTGGTGAAAGATAAACTTTATTGTATTTATCCTAGTGGATCTATAATTAAACGGGTAAACTAGTAGTAGCACATCCAACGTCAAAGAGAGTAAAAAGTTATTATCAGGAGAAGGAGAATGTTTTAGTGGTTAGCAGCAGTGTGCTAGACGATGGCCCCCTCCATGAGGCCACCACAGCTCAGCAGAACATCGTTGTAGCTTCTTCTGGGGAGAAAAACACTTAGAGAGAAAATAAAGTTAACAGCTGAAATAGCAGGAAATAATACAGTTAAAGAGCAGATAGTAGAAGAAAGCAGTAGAGTGTGAAAAGTGGTCAGTGTGTCCTCCAGCAGTCTAAGCCTATAGCAGCATAACTACAGAGATAACTCTGGATAATCTATCCTATTTAGATGGAGGCATGTTGGAGGCAGGGCAAGGGAGAGCCGTCTTTGCCGACTGTACACTCCACCTCCCTCTACTCCCCCACTTGTCCAGATTTAGGCTAACATCAGATTTTAACCATAGGCCCTATCAAATAAAAATGTTTTAAGCCTATTCTTAAAAGTAGACAAAGTGTCTGCCTCACGGACTAAAGCTGGGAGCTGGTTTCTCAAGAGAGGAGCCTGATAGCTAAAAGATCTGCCTTCCATCCCATCGTATTTTTCGATATTCTGGGAACCACCAGTAAACCTGCAGTCTGAGAGCGAAGTGCTCAAATCATGTCGTCTGAAGGTACTTTCTCCTCCAGCTGACTTTTTCGAACTGAAACTGGTGCATCAGAGCCCCCCACCCCCACCACACCCTGAAGTACGACTTACGAGGCATTCTTTCCTAATCGAAACCACTGCAAATGTACTAACAGTATGAGTAAAGGACACCTTTAAGAATGTCCTCAGATGTGAAACTGTTTTCTACTAATGTGCAGATTTAGTCAGGCTGTCCTGTATTGATGGGCTCCTCACACTTTAATGTCATAAATTTATGCCTTTACTTGTAGAAAATGACACGCACTTGTATAGCACCTGTCAGAGTCAGAGGACTCCAAAGCTCTTTACACCACAGTGTATCATTCATCCATTCCCACCGTGGTGGTGAAGAGCTGCATCATACACACAGCTGCCCTGGGGCGCACTGACAGAGGCGAGGCTGCCAAGCACAGGCGCCACTGGTCCCTCCGACCACCATTGGCGGTAAGGCGAGTTAAGTGTCTTGCCCGAGGACTCAACAGCAGAGTCCTCTGTCCAGAGCCGGGATCGAATCTGCAACCTTACGATTACTGGACAACCCGCTGAAAGTCCTGAGCTGCTGCCCCAACTAAGCTTTATTATTTTCAGCTTGAGGACTGGAAGTAGGGGAAATGTGTGACTCACTCTGATTTTATGAGGCTTTAGATCAGCGCTGAGTTTGAAAATGATGTATTATGATTTTTCTAAAGTTATAATATGTATAATATGGTCTAAATAAAACATGTCCATGAAGTTATTTACACAAAATAAAGCAATCTCAGCAGTGTTATTCTTGACATTTTTAGTACTTTCCAGAATGAGCCGTTTCAGGGCTCTGTCATTTTAAGCTGGAACTGGCTCCACCCAACCACCCCCACACAGCCTGCTAGTAGCTGAGACGCACCAATATCCGGGAGGGACTCAGAGTAGAGCCGCTGCTCCTTCAGAGTCAAGAGGTTAGGGGATCTATGCAAATTTCCCCTTTTCTGATGTCACAAACTTGGACTTTTCAAAAGAACTTGTTTTAGATAATAATTCCTAAAACCAAACACTGAGAAAAAAATGGTTGGAAGGGGTTTGTTCACATTTGGAGTGTTTATAGTAGCAGTAGAGACCGATATGGCAACACAAAGGCTGCAAAATTCAATTTTGTACAATATGTCTCCTTTAAAATAAACAGCTGTAGACCCTAACTCCAGTCTGTATTTGCTCTCTTTCTTACAGGCTGAACATTGGAAAGAATGACCTGTTGACCTTTTATGATGGAGATGACCTCACAGCTAAAGTACTGGGTCAGTACAAAGGATCAAAGTCCCACTTCAAGCTCTACACCTCTTCTGCAGATGTCACCATCCAGTTCCAATCTGACCCTGCTACAGAAGTCTATGGCTATGGCAATGGCTTCGTTATTCACTTCTTTGGTGAGCTTCATATACTGGTTTAAATTACTGTGACATACAGACCGAGTTTCCTGTTTTATTTTCAGTGAATAATGGAAAAGCAGCAATCGTCCAGATAGCATCTGACTGACAGACTAAAAAGGAAGAGCAACTTATTCTAACGAAAACATCATCAGCATCAGCCAGTTCCACAGGGGCAAAAACCAGAGGCCCCATAGATGAAACTTAAACAAAACACCACCTTTTCAATATTTCCATCCATTCATCCATCCATCTATCTGACTTCCTCGAGGTTTACAGTTAATTGTTGTTAATTTATGTGCAAGTCAAGCCTGTCAATTGGGGCTGCAACTAACGATTATTTTCATAATCGATTAATCTGTCGATTATTTTTTCGATTAATCGATTAATTGGTTTGTTATTGTTTAGCTATTTAACCTATACAAGTGATGAATACATTTCAGTTAAGAAAAAGAAAAACATAAGAGAATTGTGCAGTTGACTGCAAATTTTATTGCACATGAACACAGTCAGCGGTGTAAAATGAGCTAAACAGTGCAAAATATCAGTCCAGAATAATTTTTGGCATCAAAATATAAGAGGTAAATTCCATAAAAAATAATGTAGAATCTAGAATAGAGTTTGTAAGTGGTATGCATTGCTGGGGGGTGAGTGTCTTGTTCCCCATGTAGTTGTCCATCGTTGCTTGTTTTTTTCTGCATAAGAAACACAAATAGACTGAAATAAGTACACATATAAAATAAAGCAGCACACACACTACAACACTAAATCAATATTATATTATTTGAATTAACAATATACAGTGATCATTTATTTTGACAAAAATGTGTTGTGAGGCGTTTTACAGCGTTAGATAGTAAAACAGCCTTTTATTAGTAAAAAAAAGACTTTCTGAATTTCTCCTGTATTTAAAAATTGAAAGCGTACAACTATGCCGCGTTATATTCACCTGGACACAGCTCGTCTGTATATTTTTCTCCGCGGAGTTGTCCTTTTTTGAATGAGGAACATAGTTATGGGTTTGTGCCGTTTTTCTCTTAACGAGAACATTCTTATAAACAGACGTGCTAAATTTGGCAAGCGCATGATTCACAACACGGAGGAGATTCACGATTGCATCTAGTCAATCAGAAGTAGAACACCGTAGACTGACGCGGCAAAAAAAAAAAACATGTTTAACATCCAGTATAACGAACTCAGCTAAAACACTAAGTCCCAAATTTGATCTGCGTGTAGTGATGGACCACTATATTTAGCTTGTTTATTTTCTGTTACTTACCGGGCTGGCGCTTCCTCTGCTGCATCAGCCCCCACATGTTTTCCTCTCATATGTTCACTTAGGGACGTCGTGCTTCCGTGCCATGCTAGATGGTTTTTGCATATTTTGCAGGTCACCCGTCTTTTCATGGCATCTAGAGTGAAGTGCTCCCATACTCGTGAGGTTTTTGTCCGGGGTTTCTTTTCAGTTTTGTCGCTTCTATTTTTCTTCCGTATTTCTTCTTGACTGACACTAGTCAGTGACTTGATGCAATTTGCTGGGTTCCTTATATAGGAAACATTATTTCTGATTAGCTTAATGAACTGTGAATTGGAATGTTTATTATGTGAAGTGCCTTGAGACGACTCTTGTCGTGATTTGGCGTTTTATAAATAAACTTGAATTGAATAATTTTTTCCTTCTCAGCAGCAGCACTGCAGGTGCTCTCCATGTCCAAAATGTGTGTAAGCCAGGTCCTTAGTCAACTTAAAGTTGCGCACATTTTTCTGCTAAGTTTTCTTTCATAAACCCCAAAGTTTGAGTGGAAAGTTGCTTACGCAGTTTTCTGACCCTTTTTTGTGCGTAAGCAAGCTTGATAAATGAGGCCCCTGGACAAGGGCGTCAGTTTGTTGTCAGAATTGCTGGAGACAATAACCATACACTTGAGTGGGGTTTAAAAATTGCTGGGGACAATAAAGTAGGCTAGCACAGGGGTCGGCGGCTCTGGAACCGCATGCGGCTCTTCCATCCATCTGATGCGGCTCTCTGTGCTTGTAAAATAATGAATGGATATTTAAATAAAAAGCTTTATATTTTACTGCATTAATTTTACATCCGTAAGCTAATTCTAAATGTAAAGATTGTCTGCGTAAACCTGAACAGTTCCAACCCGGTCTTACTGTGAGACCGGGTTGACGCGTCACGCTTGTGTATAATCATATCGGCGCTTCTGAGCTGCTTTCTGACCTCCCCCACCTACAAAGTTTAATTACAACAATCAAATGTGACAGAGCCTGGATTTGTATTCTGAACAGTCTAAACATGTTTTAAAAAGAAACGTATGACAAAAGTGGCACCTGCTCAGTAAAACCACCAACAGGGTGAAAAATACCAAATATTGAAGGCAGAGACGGGCTACAACTTCTGGATCCACTTTATATAAATCGTTTTATTGATTATCTTCTTACGAAAGATAACTTTGACGTACACGAGCGATCAGGCGCGTTGCAAGCTTTTCAAAAGTGTGGGGGATGTTGTCTGTGCCTAAAATAATTTCATGTTATTCATCTTGTTAGTTTAATTTCCATAATAGCGGAGCAGGTGCGAATTGTAGACGCGTCACGCACGTCTCCGTTTCAAACATGTTTAAACTGTTCAGAATACAAATCCAGGCTCTGTCTCGTTAGATTGGTGTAACTAAAGTTTGTACTGAATGAAACTTTACATTAAACCACGTTGAAGAGAAAAGGATCCGATTAAATAGTTTCCCCCTCATTTACAGTCAGGAGTACAGCGCAGTACGCGTGGCTCTGGGGTTAATCAAGTTTAATTGTAACATTAATGTGTTACTGGACACGCTGGTCTGGTTGGTTAGACCAGTGTTTGAAGTGGAAAACACACATACACACACACACACACACACACACACACACACACACACACACACACACACACACACACACACACACACACACACACACACACACACACCAATTAAAATAATGCTGATAGCGTGGACTAGAAGACAGGTGATGGGTTACGTATTTAAATGATGATCAGGCTGATGTAAAATGTGATCTCCATCCACATCCAGACACAATTATCCTCTATTCTCTCTCTAGTTGCTCTGCTCTTGCCTGGGCTGACGTAGCTGACGGTGCGCGCGGCGCGCCTAACTAGCGGCTGATGCACATTTTACGCATTTGGAGAGGTGGGCTGGATGCTTTGCTTTTACTGGAAGATGGTCCACTTAACGCACGGGTGTAGACTACATATTAATGACAAATGAATTAAAATTAAATTGTGAGTTTTTACTTCATATTTTAAAAATAAAAATGACGGGGGAAAACATTTATGACGTCTTTTTAAACTAAATTTTCTAGCGCGACCTGCCTGCTTCACTGAAGTCGCTGCTTATTAAGGTCCGTCCAGAATTACCGTGGCCCACCCAAAAATGAGAACCTGGCGCCGCGCCTGTTATAAACCTCTGCAAATTGTTGTTCTTCACTTTATCAAACTCAGACTTTGTACAGCTAATGTCAAGATGTAAAATTATGAATTCAGTCGAGCTCTTCCGTCCCTCCCTCTCCTGCTCTCCTGGAAACCCAACATCGGCTGTCAGAAGCGGGAGGTGAAGAAGGAGATGAGGCAAACAGAGTGAGTGCGACGTAGAGAAACCAGACTGGTGTGGAGGTGAGCAAAACAGCTGGAAAAGTGTGGGTGTTGAATCCCCCACGGGTGCGATGCCCCCGGCTGCTGTCACCTGTTGTGAGCAGCGCTCTGCTGTCTGAGGGTAGGCCCCGCCCGCAACGCTACTGCGGTGTTTTCTTTACCGTGGGAAACGGGTAATAATGGCTCTTTGATGGGAACAGGTTGCCGACCCCTGGTATAAGATCTGAGCTGGTAAAACAAAAATCCTCATCAGCAGGCGTTTTTGAAAGTGGGGGGGACACAGCTGCCAATCACAAATTTTGCCGGGGACATGTCCCCGGCGTCCCCGGTTAAAATGACGCCTATGCCCCTGGAGTCCAAACCTCCAGCCGGCAGTCTGTCAGGTTTATGGATCTCTTTTTCAAATGTTTATATGGTTACTGAAGTATTTCATAGCTAGTCATCTGTCCTGGTGCTCCATCATGCTGGAGAAGACAGTTCATCCCAGTTCATGACCAAACTGTTGTTGGATAGTTGTAGGAGTTCCTCAGGGAGGATGTTAGGTACCATGGGCGACTGGCTCGGACATTGGAAATTTTTCATAAAACCAGTATGTTGTAAAGGCCAGTGTTGGCCATCTTACGTTATAAAAGGAATTAGTTATAGTTACAAATTACGTTTTCCCAAAAGTAGTGGAGTTAGTAACTCAGTTACCAGATTGTAAAAGTAATTAGTTACCCACCAAAGTAACTGTAACATTACGTTTATGTTCTATAATGCAGTTATGTTATATAATATCTATAATGTAGAATATTTTTATAACTGAATGAATCTTACCATCTAGAATGAACATTTCAGATACATGAATCATTCAGAAAAAATGTTCTTATGGGTATCTGGAATGTTAATTTCTACTAGGAACAATAGAATAAATAGATATCTGTCTAATAAGTGTTTAAAATGCTACTTTAGGTTTTTAGGGATTCTGAGATATCGCAAACTTAATTCCTGCTAGTGCCATTCTTATTATGGATATCCTTAGTTATAATTTCTACTAGTGACAGCATAACTGTTGATGTCTTCATTTGTAATTTTGACTAACAAAAATACAATTAGTACTAGAATAAATTAAATTATCGCCTCACAAAAGGGAATTACAGAGAGGTCAGTTGTTGATTAAATGTTAAAACGGCTTACCTTAGAGCTCGCCCCAGCGTGTGCTGTTTTCACTAATTTCCTCACTTTCTGAAGCGTTGTTTGTTTTTCTTTCCTCCTTTTTTACAGATTTGTCACCACCAAAAGGCGTCTTTGCACTTCATCCAAACACATTATAGTAACGCAACACTTTACATGCCCAGTAACGGTAACGGCCCAATGGTAAAAGTTATTAATTAGCCCAACACTGGTAAGGCCAGCATTGCTTCTCACCATGCACGTGTGAATGTTTCTTCACACCAGGCTATCGACTGAAAGTCCACTCTTCACTGTAACCCAGCAAATGGCATGGATTCACTGACTTACAGCAGTCACTCTGTTGTGTCAGTGACTTTACAGCGATCCTCATACTAAGCATGCGTGTAGCGACGGTGGAGAGGACAAGTCCTCTTTAACAGGAACAAACCTCCAACAGAACATAGCTCAGTATGAGCAGCCGTCTGCCACGACCAACTGGGGGTTGAGCAGTTGTACCGGTTATCCAGAGTACTGTGGATTTTTGGGATGTGATTTGTCTCTCTCAAACTCTCATCTGTCTCTCTGACTCCTGCTCACTCCCTTTGCTCCTGCAGAAGTAACTCGTAATGACACCTGCCCTGAGCTCCCTGAGATTACTAATGGCTGGAAGAGTTCCTCCCACCCTGACCTGGTTCAGGGCACCGTGGTCACCTACCAGTGCTACCCGGGCTACCAAGTGGTGGGGTCCGAGCTGCTGATGTGTCAGTGGGACCTCACCTGGAGTGGTGACCTCCCAATCTGTGCCAGAGGTGGGAACAGTCGCCAGAGATTGGAAATAGGAAACTTAAAGGGAAGAGATTATCTGTTGACTGTAAAAGACATGTTCTTGTTTGTGTTCAGTGGTTTCTTGCACTGATCCTGGAAAGGTGGAGAACAGTAGGCGGGTGTTGTCTGGTCCCCATTTCACAGTAGCGTCAACCATCCAGTACATCTGCAACAAAGGCTTTGCTTTATCTGGAAACAGCCTGCTCACGTGTTTCAGCCGAGGATCTTCAGGTCCCAGGTGGAGTCAGAAACTTCCCCGATGCCTGCGTACGTATCGGAGCGTTAGACCAGTGATTAAACTTGCATTTGTTTCCATAATTGTTTGATTGTTTGTGCTGGCTGTCCACATGTATGGATGACTGAAAGGACTAGCTTACCCATGTGTTTTCTGTGTAAGTAAAATCCTCGCCGTTTCCTTCAGCTGAGGCCTTTGAGCCCTGCCGTCACCCAGGAACTCCCACCTACGGGATCCCCAGCTCCAGTAAAATCCAGTTCCAGCCTAGAGAGACTCTGCACTATTCCTGCCAGGCTGGACATCAGCTCCTGGGTGAACCTGTTCTCCACTGTGTCCCTGGACACCCATCGCAGTGGAGTGATCTCCCACCTGTCTGTAAAGGTAGGGAACTTCAGCTCAGTTATATCTCAACAACCAGGTGTGTTTCACTTTGCATCTCAAGATAAATAACCATAAGCTGTTTGTTTATTTTAAAGTCCATTTCAGGTTATCCTTACACATAAGTTCATCGTGTCATTAGTGAAGTGCAAACTAAGACTAACAATTAATGTTTTGTAAATGAAAAATATCATTTAAAATGATTTCACTGAGCTCTTAGTGTTTGTTTTTCTGTTTTAGAGAAGCACCCAGACCTCCTAACGTGACGTGTTTCTGTATTTTAGCTAACCTGGGGGAGTATGACGGACACTCGTTTCAGGGTGAGCTGGTCACAGAGTAAAGTACTCTGCTTGAGCACAAACACTGACAACATGACCTTTTTCTGTAAAAATGTCATGTTTTGTAAATCAGAGTCAAAAGACATTTATACGTCCACCACTGGAAGTTGTGTTCACGTTTATTAGATCTCAGAGAGAAGATCTGTAGTTTGTTCTAAATGGTGAATGGCCTGTATTTGTACAGCAACTTCTTGGGGTTTTACAACCCTCCAAGGTGCTTCACAACACAATCAGACATTCATCCATTCATGCACACATTCACATGCTGATGGGAGTGAGCTATGATGTAGCCACGGCTGCCCTGGGGCGCACAAACAGAGGCGCCACCGGTCCCTCCGACCGCCACAGCAGGCAGGGCAGGCTAAGTGTCTTGCCCAAAGACACAACAGCAGCATTCTCTGGTGGGAACCGAGATCAAACTGCAACCTTCCAGTTACTGGACAACCCGCTCGACCTCCAGAGCTGCTGCGGTCCCTTTTCGTTCTAGGTAGTTCATGTATTCTAAAATAGCTGTAGCTAATTAATTGGATTCAGTTTGGAGAGCCAGAAATACATTCAGACCAGACTGATGAGCTAACAGCTAGTTCAAGTGGAGCCAATTGAAAATGGTCTCAGCAGTTCATACAGGAAATCCTGTTTACTCTTCTGCTGAAATATGGTGTATTCAAGCAGGTTGGTGCTAAACAAAGACCTGAAATCCCTCATCTGATTGCTCTCTGATCTCCTGCAGACTTTAGGCTGGACAGAGTTCAAATTGCCTTTGTGGTCTTCATTCCCATCCTCTTCCTCCTCGTTACTGGGATCTACTTCTTCTCAAAGTGAGTCCGAAAGGTGACGTGTATTTGTGGGAGTAAAGTGACTGGAAAGGTACCTAGGACACATGCCCATTTTGTCCCATCGTGGGCTTTTGTGGGCTGTGTCTGGGGAAGTGTTGGCAGGGCAAACCCACACTTACCCCAGAGTTCACCCACAATGATCTCTTGTGTATGGTTGCATGAATGGGGCCCATATATGTTTTCCCACGTGGGCCCATTTTAGATTTAATCAAGGGCAACCCACAGATGAATCTGCCAAAATCCGTCCCAGGCTGAGCCCTTGTGGGGTGCCCTAGACCAGCCCAATAAATGTTTTCACTTGTGCATTAACTTTGATTATTCTTGTGGGCACCCCACAGTGGGGTTTGCCCCAAACCTACCCACAGTGGCCCCTTATGTGTCAGCCCATCCATCCATCCATGTTCTTCTGCTTATCCAGAGACGGGTCATGGGGGCAGCAGCCTAAGTGGGGGGCCCAGACTCTCTTCTCCCCAGCCACTTGGGCCAGCTCCTCCCGGGAAATCCCAAGGCATTCCCTGGCCAGGCAAGAGTCATAGTCCCTCCAGCATGTCCTGGGTCTTCCTTTGGACGTACTCAGAAAACCTCACCAGGGAGGCATCCAGGAGGCATCCTAACTAGATACCCGAGCCACCTCAACTGGCTCATCTCGATGTCTATGTGGAGGAGCAGCAGACCATGGTCTTGAGTTGGAAAAGGGTAGAATGTCTTCTCCAGGTTAGGGATGAGGACCTTCTCCAAATAGAGAAGTTTAAGTATCTCGACGTCTTGTTCACGAGTGAGGGGAAGATGGATCGTAAGATCGATAGGTGAATTGGTGCTGCATCTAACCCAAACCCATCCCACCAAACAAAAACTGGAGGTTTAATACATCACTGCTTAAAGACGAAGGTTTTAAAGAATTTTTTAAAAAGGAGTGGGCTTTATATTTAGAACATAATGAGCTGCCTGGAACATCAGCATCTGTTCTCTGGGAGGCAGGAAAGGCAGTGGTGAGAGGCAAAATAATCTCTTTCTCATCACATAAGAAAAAAACAGAAAACAAACGTATTCAGGAGTTAGAGGAAATCATCAAGTCTTTAGAAGCATCCACAGAAGAGTTACTGAGCAAATTACCGTAAATCCTCTAATACAGGCCTGCATTCAATTAATGGCCGGGTCTCATATTTTGGCCGGTGCCGGAGTGGGCGGAGGTGAATAATGGCCGGTTTCTTATTGTGGCCGGGTGGAATGTGGTGTGCCAGAGCGTCGGTACTGACACGCGATCGTTCATGTCAGTTCATTTCCTTTAATGTTTTCTGTCTTTTATTTGTGCCTGATGCGTTTCGCTGCTGTGGAGCGGGGCGCATCACCTTGTCCTCTGACGCACCGATCACTGATGCGGTCACCAAGCAGGGAGCACTCCGCTGTTTTAGCGGTCGGTAGATCTTTTAGAGCTGCAGTTCAAAGGTAACTCATGAGGTGAATATATATGAACCCAGGTAGCAGTTTCTCTTTAGGACTGAGAGGAGATGCAGGAAGATAATAAACAGGCAGGACAGAAAAATAGTCAAATAAAAACAAGTTAGTTTTTGTACCTGCTGGTTGCAACAAACAGACACCACTGAAGGTAATCAGAAGTGAGGAACAGAAAATGAAATCATTATTTTAATGTTTAGAGCAGCAGGAACTCCGAGAGGCTGCAGGCGCATCAGTGAGTTTGCGGCCGCTGTGCAGGGGGAGGGGGGAGAGGGCTGAAGCAGGGGGAGGGGGGAGAGGGCTGAAGCAGGGGGAGGGGGGAGAGGGCTGAAGCAGGGGGAGGGGGAGAGGGCTGAAGCAGGGGGAGGGGGGAGAGGGCTGATGCAGGGGGAGGGGGGAGAGGGCTGAAGCAGGGGGAGGGGGAGAGGGCTGAAGCAGGGGGAGGGGGAGAGGGCTGAAGCAGGGGGAGGGGGAGAGGGCTGAAGCAGGGGGAGGGGGGAGAGGGCTGAAGCAGGGGGAGGGGGGGAGAGGGCTGAAGTAGGGGGAGGGGGGTAGAGGGCTGAAGCAGGGGGAGGGGGGAGAGGGCTGAAGCAGGGGGAGGGGGGAGATGGCTGAAGCAGGGGGAGGGGGGAGAGGGCTGAAGCAGGGGGAGGGGGGGAGAGGGCTGAAGTAGGGGGAGGGGGGTAGAGGGCTGAAGCAGGGGGAGGGGGGGAGAGGGCTGAAGCAGGGGGAGGGGGGAGAGGGCTGAAGCAGAAACTACCGTTGTTAAAAGAAATGTGTTTAACTTTGAAAATGTGGGCGCAATTTTAATTGTCAAAAACTCCAGCGAACCATTAGCTCATTTTGCTCAAATAGAAATAGAGGCCTGCCTCTAATTCTGGCCCTCCTTCCAATAAAGGCCTGGAGCTTGATGAGCTTGCATCAAATACAGGCCCGGGCCTGTATTAGAGGATTTACGGTATGTAAAGCTAAATTAGAACTTCATGGAATTATTGACAAAAAGACACAATTTTTAGCACAAAGACTACGAATAGAAAACTTTGAACATAGTAATAAATCAGGTTAATTTTTAGCTAGCCAATTAAAAATAAATAAAGAGAAAACTACCATATCTGCTGTTAAAGACTCAACAGGGAATGTAGTTTATGACCCTCTTTTCTAAACATCTGTTTGTCGAGATGGACAACACAAGCTTGTGATTGGTCAGGACGCCGCTGTTGTTTACAGCGCCGCCATTGTGCCCTCAAAAACATAAAGAGAGCTGAGGATAACTAGCAGCAGGCATGGAGCAGCTTGAAGAATAACCTCGCGACAAAACTCTAAAAACACGAACGTTGAATTCCCCGTGACTGGAGGAGTGAAAAGATGCGCAGCAAGCGTTTTATTTGTGGACAGAAATGACAGGAAACTTGGGTTTAGAGGTGGCGAGTGCATGAAGAGGTGGAGGAGGATGAGAGACAAATACGTCTGTTAAAAAGTCTCTTATATACAAAAAACACGATATAAACACACTATCTTGGACCGGACACCTGACAGGATACCACAGAACAGCGCTACGCCCTCTGTTGTCCTGGTGGGGAATTGCTTTGCAACACTCTCCAGGAGACGGAGAAGTATGAGGGCAAAACATCTTCGTCTGTGCGTGTCTCTCCCTTTTGGAGCTGACGTAGAAGCATGAACCAGTCTTTAGAGATAAGGTGAGAAGGGCTCAGAGTGTCAGCCCATGTGGGGAAGAGTCCACCCAGGTCAATCCCTCGGTTTGATTTCTGTAGGCACCCCACAGTGGGCTCTGCCCAAAAACTACCCACAGTGGCCCAGCGAGTGTCGGTCCATATGAGGAATCCAACAGCCTTCCCAGATTAATCTCTCAGAGTGATTTCTATTTGCCCAAAACACAATGTTAGTGATTTTTACAGTTAAACTGGACGGAGTGCTCGATTCTTCATGTGGGCTGACACCAACAGGGCCACTGTGGGTAGTTTTTGGATAGATGCTATTGTGGGGTGCCCACAGATATAAACATACATAAATGCAAACATCCATTGGGCTGACACAGGACCCCCCACAAAGGCTCAGCATGGGATGGATTTGGGCGGATACATCTGTGGGTTGCCCTTAAGTAAATCCAAAAGGGGCCCACATGGGAAAAGACATACTGACCCCATTTATAGACAAGATCCTTGAGTGTTAACTCAGGGGTAAGTGTGGGTTTGCCTGTATATACTACCCCAGACACAGTCCACTAAAGCCCTTGGTGGGTCCAAATGGGCATGTTTGCTGGGTGTCTTGTAGTTCATTTCAATTGAGTGTGAATTCTAGTCTGAAACCTTATCACTGGATTTTGAAATTGTGTAGAACTTTTTTATGTAACACAAGTTCTCTGAAATAGATTTATAATAGTTTGTGATGGTAAAGGTATGGCAGCATTACTTCAGGCGGTAGAGAGGGTTGTAGGTTCAATCCCAGTTCCGTCCCGGTTGACTTCCCCATATTCGTGAATTAGTAGATTTTCATCACCAGCAGTGTGTGAATGTGTGAGTGCATGATTAATGAAAATCGCTTTGAGTACCTTGAAAAGTACCATCTCAATCTAATCTATATTACTTTCATTTTAATCCAATGAAAGTAATATATATATATATATATATATATATATATATATATATATATATATATATATATATACATATATATATAGTGGGGCAAAACAGTATTTAGCCAGCCACCGATTGTGCAAGTTCTCCCACTTAAAATGATGACAGAGGTCAGTAATTTACATCATAGGTACACTTCAACTGTGAGAGACAGAATGTGAAAAAAAATCCATGAATTCACATGGCAGGATTTTTAAAGAATTTATTTGTAAATCAGGGTGGAAAATAAGTATTTGGTCACTTCAAACAAGGAAAATCTCTGGCTCTCACAGACCTGTAACATCTTCTTTAAGAAGCTTTTCTGTCCTCCACTCGTTACCTGTATTAATGGCACCTGTTTGAACTCATTATCTGTATAAAAGACACCTGTCCACAGCCTCAAACAGTCAGACTCCAAACTCCACTATGGCCAAGACCAAAGAGCTTTCGAAGGACACCAGGAAAAGAATTGTAGACCTGCACCAGACTGGGAAGAGTGAATCTACAATAGACAAGCAGCTTGGTGTGAAAAAATCAACTGTGGGAGCAATTATCAGAAAATGGAAGACATGCAAGACCACTGATAATCTCCCTCGATCTGGGGCTCCACGCAAGATCTCATCCCGTGGGGTCAAAATGATCATGAGAACGGTGAGCAAGAATCCCAGAACCACACGGGGGGACCTGGTGAATGACCTGCAGAGAGCTGGGACCACAGTAACAAAGGTCACCATCAGTAACACACTACAACGGCAGGGAATCAAATCCTGCAGTGCCAGACGTATTCCGCTGCTGAAGCCAGTGCATGTCCAGGCCCGTCTGAAGTTTGCCAGAGAGCACATGGATGATACAGCAGAGGATTGGGAGAATGTCATGTGGTCAGATGAAACCAAAGTAGAACTTTTTGGTATAAACTCAACTCGTCGTGTTTGGAGGAAGAATAATACTGAGTTGCATCCCAAGAACACCATACCTACTGTGAAGCATGGGGGTGGGAACATCATGCTTTGGGGCTGTTTTTCTGCTAAGGGCACAGGACGACTGATCCGTGTTAAGGACAGAATGAATGGGGCCATGTATCGTGAGATTCTGAGCCAAAACCTCCTTCCATCAGTGAGAGCTTTGAAGATGAAACGTGGCTGGGTCTTCCAACACGACAATGATCCCAAACACATCGCCCGGGCAACAAAGGAGTGGCTCCGTAAGAAGCATTTGAAAGTCCTGGAGTGGCCTAGCCAGTCTCCAGACCTCAACCCCATAGAAAATCTGTGGAGGGAGTTGAAAGTCCGTGTTGCTCGGCGACAGCCCCAAAACATCACTGCTCTCGAGAAGATCTGCATGGAGGAATGGGCCAAAATACCAGCTACTGTGTGTGCAAACCTGGTAAAGACCTATAGTAATCGTTTGACCTCTGTTATTGCCAACAAAGGTTATGTTACAAAGTATTGAGTTGAATTTTTATTATTGACCAAATACTTATTTTCCACCCTGATTTACAAATAAACTCTTTAAAAATCCTGCCATGTGAATTCATGGATTTTTTTTCACATTCTGTCTCTCACAGTTGAAGTGTACCTATGATGTAAATTACTGACCTCTGTCATCATTTTAAGTGGGAGAACTTGCACGATCGGTGGCTGACTATACTTTTTTGCCCCACTGTATATATTTATATATATATATATATATATATATATATATACTTACTTGTCTGTAAAAATTTTGCCAACTCTGCATCTGTCTAGATATGTCCACAAACATGTGCACGCTCTTTGACATCTATCCATAAGTAGATGTCTAACTCTGTTGGATGATGTTTTGTACATTTGTTTGTGTAATCCTTTCAGTGTTTGTGTTGAATGATGTTGAGTGGCACGCATTTAAAATTACATGGGGCTCTACGGGACGGGGGACGAGCTTAACAAAAAGCAGTGATGTAATGCCAACGTTATATCACAGTACAGGGAAAGACTATCACTGTTATGGATTTTTTTATTAACTTACCTTATTCCTGTAAGATGGAAACGCCGGATTGCTGCTTTAAAAACAGAAGCAGGTTTGAACAACTTTTATCTTAAATTGGCTGAAGTCAGACGTGCAGATGCTAACTAAATGTCACATTGAGAGCAGGAGGGTAGGACCCAAAATGCAGAACCCCAGAACGACACAAGGCAGGAGCGGTTGTTCAAAAGTAAAATCCTTTATTTAGGACGATAATCCAAAAAAAAAAAAATCCAAAAGGGCAGGAAGCCAAGCCTATTAATAAAAAATCCTGAAAAAAACTGAAACTCACTTTCTGAGCCAAAACCTAGTGGGGGGACAAAACAACGCTGAAAAACAAAAATGGACCGAAACACAGAGAGACGAGACAGGGTTATATACGCAGGGGCTGGATGATTGGGAGACGAGGAGCAGGTGCGTGGGAGAGAGAACTGAGAGAACGGTGAGATCAATTAACTAAATGGGAAGGGAAAAGCAAGCAGAGGGGATAAACCCTAACCTGTGAATCTCTAAATAAATAAATCTAACAGAACTAAGGGCACAGGAGAACCAAGGATAAATAACTAATGACCTGAGGAGTGAGGGAGACTAATGAAGTGGGGAAGGAAAACACACACACACTAGACCACATATGTCAGACTCAAGGCCCGCGGAGCATTTTTATGTGGCCCGCGAGATAAATATCAAAAATATATTAACCCTAACCCTAACCCTAACCCATTTTACCGCAAAGACTTCAACTCCCATGATGCTTTGCGACGTCAGCGCGGAGCCGACGCGCCCCCTCCTTTGTGTTTTTGCCAGCGCCTGCTGCCGGTTTCTGCAGCTCCGCTGTCTCGGACAAACTAAACACTCCTCTCACTCAGCGCCGAGTTCACTCAGCTGTTTTCTGACGTTGAAGCCCAGAAACGGAGATTCTAGCCGCTCAGTAATGTTTTCACGACTGAAAGAGAAAGTTTTCCAACTAACGTCCAGACAGAGCTGATATAACTCCAGCGAGCAGCGACACGCTCAAACCAGCACGACTCTGTGGTTGTGTTTCCTCCCCGACACACAACAACGTGGTCAAGCTGCTCAGACATGTTCATCAGCACAAACCTGTGTGAGCACCTGTTGTCATCTAATGTTGTCATTATTATGATGAAGATGAACAAAACAACAGGAGTCTCCTCCTCAGCTCAGACCAACCCCATGATGCAGGTATCTGGCTGGAACAGGTGAGCATCACAGTAAACCAGTGGAGCAAACTGAGCTTTAAATATGTTGGTTTGATGCTCTTTTTCTGCTCCAAAACATGAAAGTTAACAGGTGAGATGTTGCATTTTCATTTAAGATAAAATGATATTTTATTTTGTTGTTGGCCCGTGAGCAAAGATTTAACCTACAGTAAACAGGAAGTGGAAAGGCTGCAGATAGATGAATAGAATAGAAAATCCCTTTATTGTTCCTCAGTGGGGAAAGCTAGACGTCACAGCAGCGATGACACGTATTACAGGAGAAAAAAGGAGAATAAAAAATAAGAAAAATGAATAAACAAAAAAACATAAATCCTGAATAGATTTATAAAATGCTGATTATACCACAAGTAATGAATACCACTGATGCCTTTTATTTAAAACTGACTTGCTCGTGTGTAATTTGCTTATTCCACATTCAGTGTTAATGCAGAAATATGTTTGTTTCCACATTTAAAGGTTCAAAATTGCTTATATGTTGATAAAGAAAATGTGCAAATTTGCCGTCACTTTTTCAAAAAATATTAAGTTTGGCCCTCGACTTCGTCCCAGAGTTTCATTTCGGCCCCGTGTGAGTTTGAGTTTGACACCCCTGACCTAGAGAATAAAATGAAAACCTGAACCTATGAAAACTACAGAAGGGTGACTGGGAGAAACCTGAGGGAAACCTGGAGTGAGCAGGGGACCAAAAGAGGCACAGGACCTGAGGGGACACCTGGAGGGAGAATGGGAGGGGGCTGGGGACCAAAGGAACACAGAACATGACACTAAAACAGACTAACTGTGTTTTTTTTCCTGTGGTCAGGGGTCAGAAGAAACCAGTGCAGCTCTCCCTGTTCTCCAGTTTACCGTACGAAAACATCACAGGAGAATCCACGTTCGACCCGTCTGTTAATGAGACAATGGTGCGTCAGTGGTCACTAATCTGAAACTAACACAAGTAACCCAGTAACTCGTGGTTCTCCGTGTTCATCAAAGCCACCTCATTTTACCTGTCAAAGTATGCTGCCCGCCATCAAAATAAAAAGGTCACACTTTAATATTTAGTTGAACCACCTTTAGCTTTGATTACGACACACATTCACGGTGAAATTTCAATAAGCTTCTGCAACGTCACCAGACTTATCTCCATCCAGTGTTGCACTAATGTTTCACCAACATCTTGCATAGACGATGGCAGAGTCTGAGAGTTGCACAAAGATTCTGAATGGGTTAAGGTCTGGACTCTGAGGTGGTCGATCCATGTGTGGAAATGATGTTCATGCTCCCTGGACCACTCTTTCATCTGAGCCTGATGAATCCTGGCATTGTCATCTTGGAATATGGCCGTGCCATCAGGGAAGATGGAATAACCTGGTCATTCAGGATATTCAGGTAGTCAGCTGACCTCTTTCTTGAAGTACATCCTGTTGCTGAACAAGCCCAGATCATAGCACTGCCCCCACAGGCTTGTACAGTAGGCACTAGGCATGATGGTGGTAAAAGTGAATGTGAGCATAATTATATACGTTTTATTACTTTATTATGTATTTTTTATTATTGACTATTACTCCAAAGAGTTCAGATGAAGGCAACTGGACTTCTTTGGTTTCTTTAAAACGTTTCACTTCTCCTCTGAGGAGCTTTGTCAGTTCTAACTGGAACATGGGAGAGTCAAGCTCATAAGCTGTAGCTGTCTGTTGTTATTTAAAGAGCAGAAACTACTCTGAGTACCCCGCCTCTCCATCTCCTGATGAGTCATCAGCCTCTACTGATGGTGAGTCATCGTGTTGATTAGATGCAGGAAGGTGTGACCTAGACTGAAACTGAATGAGATTAAAGCTGCATCATTGGTTCTGGAAAGGTGAAATCTAAGCCCCGCCTCTATTTAAGGTGGGGGTTTCACGTTTTGACATAGATAGCTTCTTTTACTCTTCTCTCAAACCATCCATCTTCTCTGTCCAGAATGTGGACTTTGTCATCTTCAAAGGTGTGTCCCTTGTCCTTCAGGTGAAGGTGGACTGCAGAGTTCTGACCTGAAGAGGCGGCTCTCCTGTGTTGTGTTGTGTTCTTGTGTACTTGTTGTTTAGTTTCTCTAATGTAAACATCTGGACAGTGCTCCTACACTGGACTGCATAAACGACCCCACTGAGCTTCTGTTTGGGTGTTTTGTCTTCTGGATGGACCAGGTTCTGTGTCTTCTGGATGGACCAGGTTCTGTCTGAGGGTGTTGTTGGGTTAAAGTTTACCGGGATGTCGTGTTTGGAGAAGATTCTTCTAAGTTCCTCTGAGACTCCTGCCACGTATGGGATGATGGTGCCTTTGTGTAAAGGGTGGTGTTGTTAGGTTGGTAGCAGAGCTCTCATGTTTAGTGGTAAGTTCAGTGAGATCATGGAATGGGATCAAGAATTTTCTACAGACAGGAAAAAGATCTCAGCTAACATAGCTGTAGATCACACTGGATAACTCTCTGTGGTGCATTTGTTTTACATTTATTTTACTACCTCTTACTAGAGCTGTCTTTAGTAAGCACAACATATACTTGGTTGTACACCTGTGCAGTACCAATAAAGTATCTTGATTCCTGTTACATGTACTTCCTGAATGAGTGACCTTTTCAGGCTAAAACAACAAAATGACAAATACAGACAGAAGGACGACTTCTTTCTTCTTTTATAACGCGTTGCATCACCACCTGGTATCAGAACAGGACTCAGTATTGGAAGATAATCAAAAATCAAACAACTTGGACTCGGATCAGGGGCAGAAATGTGCTTGTAACATCTCTAGATATAAGTCAGCTTTAAGTACTAAAACTATTATTTATGAACTAACATTAACACTAACGACACTAATTTATATATTTTATTATGTTGTTTGAACCCAATTATCTGAATTTTCTAACTTGTTGGATTGCTCTATAAGTGCCCCTTTTTTTACTTTGAGCACCCGCCCCGTCAAAGGTCTCTGCACGGCCCTGACCCTAACCCTAACCTGAAGGACCCCGAGACGATGAGAAATGAGATTCTCTGGTCTGATGGAACCAGTATAGAACTTTTTGGCCCTAATTCTAAGAGAAGTGCGTGGAGAAATCCAGGCACTGCTCATCACTTGTCCAATACGGTCCCCACAGTGAAGGCATGGCGGTGGCAGCATCATGCTGTGGGGTGCATTTCAGCTGCAGGGACAGGACGACTGGTTGCAATCAAGGGAACAATGAACGCGGCCAAGTACAGGGACATCCTGGACAAGAACCTTCTCCAGAGTGCTCAGGACGTCAGACTGGGCTGAAGGTTTACCTTCCAACATGACAACGACCCTAAGCACACAGCTAAAGTAACAAAGGAGTGGCTTCACGGCAACTCTGAGACTGTTCTTGAATGGCCCAGCCAGAGCCCTGACTTAAACCCCAGTCAACATCTTTAAGAGACCTAAAGATGGTCGTCCACCAACGTTCACCATCCACCCTGAAAGAACTGGAGAGGATCTGCAAGGAGGAACGGCAGAGGTCCCCCAG